AAAGCCAACCAAAATGGGGTTGCCAAACCAACTGCAAGTCCTCTACATGCTGTGCAAAGTATGAACAAAGCTGAAAGACACAGACATACGCGAGCATTACATCGAACACCCTATTTACAACTTTGTCCGTGATAGCCTAGTACACCATTTGTACCACTCGAGATAGTTGAATTTCATCCATTACCGATTGGCGCAAGTCAGTAACGGTGAGATTTCATCTGGTACCACTAGCCAAAGGTCAAGTTGACTCATCAATTTGACCATTGGCAACACTTTGGGGCTTATTTAATCCCCATTTGCTGCCTCCCTTCCTCCTTTCACTCTCACTTTCACTCTCTCTCAATCTTATTCTCTCTTGGGTTTTGAGTTAAACACACTTAAGCTCCCTAATTGACGATTAGGGGAGGTTGATTTGGATAAAAGAGGGATTAAATCTCAGGATGGCAATGGTGGTGACCAATCGATTGTTCCGACTACTCAGATTCAGGATATGGGATATCATGGAGCTGAGGATCCATGTGCAAGGATAAAGAAAAGGGAAAGACAGTTGATGAGTTTGTGGAGATGCGATAGAGCCTCTATGATGTTGACACTGATTTATAGCCTTTATATTATGGAGGATCTCATGGCCAATATATGTATAATGATAGTTGGTTTTCTTTTTGGAGTCAGGTCGATCTTACACCACAGCAGTTTAGTCATAGCTCTAGTGTGATCGAACTCTGCAGCCTTACATGCCACAATCACTTACCACACTTTTACCACATTGATACTTCAAATGGCACACCATTTACCAGTATAATCGATCATGGGAGTAGTCCAAGTCTGAGTTCCACAGACTTACAATATTGACATATAACATCAAACGTTCAAGGACCCTGATCCACGTCATATACTCTTGTCATTCAGTTTGGTTATCTCAATATTTTATTTTGTGCATATCTTAGAGTTTTGACACCTAAACTGACCTCTCTGCTCTTTCTTTACAAGTTTGGGGACACTTCAATCCAAGGGAAGCAACTTAATTCTATTAGATGGAGGACCGTGCAACAAAATTCTTCTTCAGTCTATAAAGATAGAATTTATACCTTTGATCCTTGGTCACTAAGCAATTCAATCTATTGTTTTATAGCTTAGAATTACTTTATTCTTATTTAATTTGATTGTATAAACCAAGAAAATATGAGAAAGAACCTGAAATAGGGTTTTTTCTAATTTTTGACTGATTGTCTAGCCAAAACTTCAAAATACCGATACGTAAGATAGGGGTTTTTTTTTTCTAATTTTTGACTGATTTTCCTTCTAAACTTTTGAAATATCGGTATGTACCAGTGTATCGACTGTCGATACACCAGTTCCAGCAGATTCATACTAGTCCAAATAGGGATCGATATGGTACCTGGTACAAAATTGCAATCCTTGATCTCTAGGGACTAAAAATGCACCTTAGGAAGGTCGAATTTTTTGTTAGGACCTTCTGCATGTTCAATTTTTGCAATCTCCTTTTATTTTGTAGTATAGTCGGATTTGAGAAACTTTACTGAAGCTAGAAGCATGACTTGATTAGCTAGTGGAAGAGGTTGATTCGACGAGTTTGAGAAAGGAGATGGGTGTTGTTGTTAGGTTCCCCTTTTGCCCTTGTATATGGTCCAAAATTATTGTTATAGTTTTGTAGCCTAAGATCAAAATTGTCAAATGAAGGTACAAGACCTTTATCACTCAATAAACCTGGTAATGGCCTGTACCGCTAGGTATAGGATGGTGCAGGCCCCATACTGGGTATTTTCTTTTTTCAGCTCTACAATCTTTTTTAGTCATTTTTAGGCTTAATCTGAAACTTATTACGTACTAGCATACTGACACTTGGTACATTGATATGAACTGGTACCATACCAATTTGAACCCTGATTGGTATAGTATCAATATATAAAATTGTGAACCTTGGATAATTAGTTAGACATCTCCAAGATAAATCTTTTCATAATGTATGCACCAGAGATGAAAAAAGTTGATCCATAATAGCTACCACTCGTAAATTAAATTGATAGGTTTAACACCTTACTGAGCTCCTTTTTTTAAGGGAAAAATAACTCCAAGTGAGGAGGAAGGAAAAGAAAAAGTGAAGTGTGATAAACAAAACAATAGAGAGGGTAAAATTTGGTTCTTAATTTGTGATGCTTTTAGTTAAGGTTCGTTGTATCGTAGCGTACCACTCGATACAGGCAGTATGTATCGGTCTGACAGGGAATCATTATGTGTGGTACATTAGTACTTTCTCATGTACTGTATGTTGATATGCTTGGTACGGCTTGGTATAACTCAGTATTTACTGTACTGACAACTAGTCGGTATATCGGTACTGACCAATAAGGCGAACCATGGTTTTAGGCAAGGTTCGCCGTACCGTACCGTACCGGCGTTTTGACTTGGGCTCGGTACGGTATGGTACTGGTGTATCGGGCGGTATATCAGGGCATACCGAGCGGTACACCCTGGTGTACCGAATAATTTTATACTTTTTTTATACTGTAGTAGTGCTATAGTATAGTACTGTAGCATTGTAGCGGTACCGGACGGTCCGCGTACCGGTAACCTGTCGGATCGGTACGTACCGCCCGGTATGGGCGGTACGCTTCGGTATGGCAGACCTTACTTTTAGGAGCTACCAAGATCTTAATTCAAATTTTAGCTCGAGGCTTAATTTGGATCTTGACTTGCGGATGTGTGTTCTTTGCTGAGAAAAGGATCTTCTAATTCCCCCAGTGATTTAAAAAATGCTAGGCACCAAAAGGCGCCACGGTCCAAAAATGCCCGAGGCGCTAAGCGATCGCCTAGTCGCTCGCCCGAGCAAAGTGAGGCGCTAAAAATTAATAATATTAAAATTAATAGTATTAAAATCAAAATAATAGTGTTATACTGTATACAATTAACAATATAGTGTTAACAGTATACAGTATAACAGTATACTTTCGATTTCGAAAGAAGAGAAGCGAAAGAGAAGAGAAGAGTGTAAGGGAAGATCGAGGGTGCTGAGAAAAGCGGGAGCAGTAGCGGTAGCGGCAGTGGCAACGGCGAGCGACGATAGTGGCAGCAGCAGTGGCAACGGTAGCAGCGAGCAGCGGGAGCGGGAGCGGCGACAGAGGTAGCGACAGCAGCGAGTAGTGGCGGCGGCTGCCGGAGCGGGAGCAACGAGCAGCGACAGTGGCAGCGGCAGCGGCAGCGACAGCGAGAGCGGCAAGCGGCAACAATGGCAGCGGCAGCGGCAGCAGCGAGCAGCGGCAGCGGGAGCGGCGACAGCGGCAGCGAGCAGCGTGAACGACGAGCAGGGTTAGGGTTGGGGAAGTCGCACTGATATCGGTGCTTTAGTTGGTTCGATTGAACCAACTAAAGAACCAGAGACCGAACCAGACCTAAACCGCTGGTTCGGTCGCCTGGTTTAACCCAGGCGCTTGCCCGAAGCGCCCGACGCCTAGGCTCGAGTGAGCGCCTAGGCGACTCCTCTTTGAAGCGCGCCGCTTGGAAATGAAGCGAGGCGCTCGGGCCTCGCCCCGCCTCGCCCGAGCGCCTAGGCGAGCGCCCGAGCGCCTTTTTAAATCACTGAATTCCCCAATTTAAAAATGTAAATCTAACCATTGTTTTCTTTAAAAATGGCCCCACTTGGTTCTTTAAGTTGGTCTTGCTCTGTAGTTCAATACCAGAATTAAGTAGAACACTGGACTGATCTGGCTTGGGTTTGAAAAATTTGCATTATAACATCATAAATCTTCCATATACTTGAAGTATGTATCATTGCCTTGTTTTTCCTTTTTTCAAAAATTAACCGTACAAGTAAGCATGAATCGTATCACTTAAATATCCCTTATCCATTTCCCTGCATCATACCTTACCTGATGCCAATGCAAGCGGAATGAATCTGGAAGAATGGAAGAGAATTTCTACTTATAGTCAACCTCACAGTCATGGCCTGTGTCCCCACCAGGCTATCTATGATGAGGAGTGCATCATCCTGTATATGTTTCTCTCAAGCAATCATTGATAAGAAAAATCTAGAAGTGTTATAAGAGAATACATCAAGAAATCAAGATAATTGTACAACATTCAGACAGTTCGTAGTCTTCTGAGTCAGTTGTGTGTAGAAAATTGAAAATGACTACAGATGGTTGGTTGATATATTCTGGTAATTTGTGATCCATACTTTACAACCATTAGTACCTAGCATCCATATTAAAATTAAACAAACTGCATCTAATAATGATCACCATGTTAGACTCTTTGGTCCTTCCAAACATTTAAGAATTGATGGAGTCCTGGCCGTTTGAGCCATTTAGATCACTATGATTAGTGTTACCCACAGACATACAATATCTTTTCAATAGCAAAAAGATTTTGTATAAAAAATAGAAGTATAGAGTCTATAGACTATAGAGGGTGAGCCTTCATGTATGAAAATGCTGTTTTATGAGATTGTATCTTGTGTCCTTCATGTAGCCATAGGGCTGCATAAACCTAACCCTCCTAGATATTGTAGTCATAGAGACTTGCTCCTGAAGACCATCCTCTATTTTCTAATAAACATTGAATCACCTTTTAATCTTTATGTTGGTCTAGCATTTATTTTACCTAGCTTATGCATTTTTCTTACTTGCATATAGGGTGGAGGCCTTATTATGCTTATATGGAATTGGATCTTGACATTATATAGGCTCTTTACCTTTTTCTGGTTTGTTTATCTACATGTCTAGTTCCAGGTGTTGGGAGAGAATGATTCCTTAACGTGTAGGTGCATTCCTAAATTTATGTGCTCGAAATTCTTCGCTGAGTACGAGGCATAAAACAGCTTTTATTTTTGCTAGAATAAAAAATTTATAATTGTTTCTTAAATCTGTAACCTTATGTCTTTCATATTTTTTGGAATATAATTTTCATTTAGGACAATTTGCAAAGTGCATGATGTCTTTGGCTGTGTTTGATTGACAACATTGACCTCCAAAAATATGCAGATTCACATTCTTCTCTACAAAGAGGTCGCTCTTGCTTTAAAAATAAACAGTGAATATAGTAAGAGAAGATTGCTTAACATTCATGAGAATGTAAAAGTTCTACGCTATCCAGATCATTTTTCTACTGGTGTTTATCTATGGTACGAAACTCCTTATCTTGTTGATTATGAATATTCTGATGCAGTTGAGTTTCATGCTGGATAATGTTCAAAACCAGGTCTCATCATGAGAAAATTGTTATTGTTGATAATCAAATATGCTTCATTGGAGGGCTTGATCTGTGTTTTGGTCGCTATGACAACCATGAACACAAAGTTGGTGATTTTCCTCCCCTAATATGGCCTGGCAAGGACTACTATAATCCCAGGTACCTTTGAATCTCAACCTCAATAAATTGACCTCATATTACCAAAGATAATAAAATAATAGGTTTACAGTGTTTTTTTCCTAAATCTATCTTGTGTTTTTTTCCTAAATCTATCTTGTGGTTTTTCTATTTGAATGAGGGAATCTGAACCAAATTCTTGGGAAGACACCATGAAAGATGAATTGGACCGTGGAAAATATCCTCGCATGCCTTGGCATGATGTCCAGTGTGCTCTTTGGGGGCCACCATGTCGTGATGTGGCAAGACATTTTGTTCAGCGCTGGAATTATGCGAAGGTTGCTTCATTCTCTAAGAAGCTAATTTCGTTTCTTTTAGTCATCCCTTCTTCTAGATGCTTTCCCTAAACCTTTTTTGTTTTGTAGAGAAATAAAGCTCCAAATGAGCAGGCAATTCCATTGTTGATGCCTCAGCATCACATGGTTATTCCACATTACATGGGAAAAGGTAGAGAAATTAATGTGCAGAGTAGTGAACAAGATGTCAGTCAAAAGGATACTAAAAAGCTGGGTTCACTCTCCTCCCGTTCATCATGTCAAGACATCCCCCTTCTATTACCACAAGAACCTGATGGACTAGCAGTGCCTAATGGAAGTGCAAATAATGAGTTGGACAATACTTGTGATCTTTTAGACCATCCAAATAGAACTAGCCAAAACCAACCATTTTCTTTTAGGAAAACCAAAGTTGAACATCCTGTTCAAGATATGCAGATGAAAGGCTTTGTTGATGATATTGATTCTCATCAGTCACAGAGGGACAGACATTTCAATGTGATTGCCGAGCCACTTACTCAAAATATGGATGAGTGGTGGGAAACACAAGAGCGGGGCAGTCAAGTTGTCTCTACAGATGAAGCGAGACAAGTTGGTCCTCGTACACAATGCCGTTGTCAGGTTGGTATAAGTCCAATTGCTTTGAAGAGAAAAATGCATTTTACTATTAACTTCAAAATGATATCATTTCTCGTGTAATAATAATTCAACTCTTTATTTTTTTTTTACGAGAAAATTTGTAGAATATGCTTATTTTCCTGAAGCCACTACTTGGGTTCCATATTTATTAGTTTCATTTGTATATTCCTACTGAAACAAAAAAACAGAATAGAGATATGCATCCATGTTCTAAGACCAGTAGAACATGATCAAATTAGATTTAAGGTGCTTATGTATGCAAATGGTACTTAATGTTGCTGTAGATTCTACTACACACATTTATATGTTTCAAAACCTTTCTCTTGTCATTTGAATCACATTTGTTGTTCTTAAATAAGGTTAATAGGATAAAGGGCATTATGAAGAGTATATTTTGGCACTTTGGAACAAGGATTAAAGTCTCGTTCTGGAATTGATAATGGTAGCAGCCAGATTGGCACCACACCACGTGTTTGTATGGTTAGTATTCATATGTCACAATAACCTATAGTGCAAAGAGCAAGAGAGAGCTCACATATGATGAAAAATTTTTTGCTATGGGAATTTTGCAACACAAGACATCATCATTTTAGATCCCATGACCTTCAAAAATCTCTCATGCGTCAGTTAAAGTGTTAGTGAAATGCTTTAGCCAAAATAGCTTTTAGATTGCCTCCAAACATCAATACCTACACCTCTCTCCTACAAGAGGAGCAGTCCAAGCAGCAATAGCAGGAGATGCAAAAATAAGCTCATACTCAGTGCATGAGGGTCCCACCAATGCGGAAATTGAAGAGGATCAATTTATGCAACCTTACCTTTAAATATTTGAAGAGGCAGTTTTCGTGACTTGAAACTAGGTCTCCTAGATTGCAAAGGAGCCTTGGTTCACCGTATTATGCCAACCAGGTGCTCTTTGGTTAGTATTGGTGTATCATGTGTTAGTACACAATACGTATTAATCGAAAAAGGACCGAAAAATGAGCCAAAATTAAGAAAACCCTATCTCAGGGTTTTTTTTTTCTTATTTATTGATATATAAATTAAATTTGGTACCTAGTCATTCAATAATAAGTCTCTAATTACCCATTAAACATGGTAGAATAACTTGGCAAATAAGAAGTCAATACATGTTCAATCTAAGATAATTCATTTTAGATACCTCTAATTAGGTCTTAATTAATTACTAGTCACTAATTAATTAAGAATACCAATATTCCTTACAGTAATTAAATGACATGATAAAGAAAGCATAGGGTGAAGCTAAAGTACCTTCAATTAGAGACGAACCTCATATGACCTTGAGTTTCCATCCTTTTCCGGTTCAAGTGGTTGATTCCCACTAATTATTGGCTAGAGGGATTAAGCAAGTTTAATGAGAGTGAGAATGAGGGAGAAAGAGTGAGAAAGAGAGTAAGGATGAGAGTGAGTAAGTGAAAGAGGGTGGAGGGGCTTTTGTAAACCCAAAACGGCCCCAACTGCATCAGGTGATATATGAGGTGAACCAATTGGTACGCCTTCTGTTTCCTGTGTACAGGTTGGTCCATGTCTCGGCTAGCTCTTGAACAGATACATACTGCCCTTTCATACTGTAGTGAGCAGTACGGTAATCCATGCCTACAGCAGGGTTGGGCTGTTACGAACGGTCGGCGCGCACCCGCAACAACTTTGTTCAACGAACCGTTCGTCGCTTTTGTTTACATGTATAGATGCTTGGCAGCATGTTTTGCCCAGGTTTTGTGGTCTTTTGCTTGTAAAAATGTAAGTTCGAACAAGTTGCAGCGTTACAGTGCGACCGCTCACCGCACCGAGCAAAACAGCCCAAAATGGCTCCGTTTTCGTGTGCCACGGGTTGTTTTCTGCAGCCCACTGTTGCGCGCGAAACGTCAGCCATCTCAGCACCCTGGAACCACCCGGGTGGCACCATGGGGGATGGGGCTTTGGTATAGTGTCGGGCGTTGAACAATCTTCATAAGTTCGCACGTTTTCTTGATGGGAACTTGCCTTTCTCCCGGCACCCGGTAAGCAGCTGTTTATGGACTTGCAGCTGTTCGTTCAACCCTTTAAAGTCCTTGTTTTCCTCCTTTCTCTGTTTTCTCTCTTGCACGCAAGATGCTCGCTGAATTGCTTGTAAAGCTTCCCTCTTCACGAGACGTCGGGACTTGTCCGTCGCTCGTTCTTCGAACTAATCAACTTTATCTTTTACAAGTCCTTCGGGAACTGAGTGAGGTTACAAATTGGTTGACCTTTGCGGACGCATATCGCAAGGGCGCGTCAAGACTTAGGCAATCCCAGTTAAGTTCGAGAAGTTGGTGCAAGGGTGCTTCGCGACTTAGGCAACGCAAGCTAAGTTCGCATCTTGGCCGCAAGGGTGCCTTACGGCTTAGGCAATTCCAGCTAAGTCCGTGACATTGTGGTATCAGAGCGGGCAAGCAATTCGAGCAAGCAACGAAGGAACTTCGCAATTTCGCCATGGCAAAGAATCGAGGCAAATCAAGCAAGGTGGGGCAAGCCGGACCTTTGCCCCAAGCAACCGTAGGTGGGCTACAAGTGCAAACTCGCTCTCATGTCATTGGAGCCACTTTGGAGGATCGTGGCAGCGAACATGGTGAGTGAGAAATTGGCTACTCTTCGTGAGAGGAGGAGGCGCAATCTGGAGCGCCAACCGGGAAGAAGAGCCATAAGGAGAGACTCACAACGGCGGAAACCCGCTTGGATGTTCTTGAAGCGAGCTTGGAGGAACTCTACCAAGGCTAGCGAAGGCTTCTTGTGGTAGAGAGCTCACAAGAAGAAGCTAAATCCAGAATCGACAAGGTCGAGGCCCTAGTCGATCGACTGTCGGACGACTCCAAAGATTCCGTGCAACATCTGCAAGAAGTCGTGGCAGAACTCACTTCCAGGGTGACCATGCTCACAAGGGCACTGAATGCAGGAGGAAGCAACACCCACGTTGCACCACCACAAAACTTGAGGGCACCCGAGCCGCATTGTTATGGAGGTGCCCGAGATGCTAAAGAGCTCGAGAATTTCCTGTTCAACATGGAACAATACTTTTGAGCTACGAGGCCTAATTCTGAAGAAACCAAAGTTTCAATAGCAACCATGTATTTGAATGGGGATGCAAAACTTTGGTGGCAAACCCGTTGGGAGGAGATCCAACAAGGTCGGTGTCGGGTGGACACATGGGAGGACTTAAAGCGAGAGTTGAGAACACAGAGTTCGTCACAAGGAGAAAGTTGAGACAACTCCGCCAAAGCACTTCCATCTGTGACTACGTGAAGCAATTTTCTACGCTAATGCTAGACATACAGGACATGTCCGAGAAGGATAAGCTATTTAGCTTTCTCGATGGTTTGAAGCCATGGGCGCAAGAAGAACTGCATCGAAGGAATGTCACCGATGTGATCGGGACAATTGTTGCCACAGAAAGGCTCACCGACTTTGTTTCCTCTGAGGACCCGGGAAAAAGGAAACAATCTTCAGGAAATCGCGCTCTAAAATATTCTCGAGGGAAGGAGCCCGGGGGCGAACAAAGGAAAAGTTCCCACAAAGGGCCAAGCTCAAAAGGCATGGCCCCAAAAACTGGCAGATGCTTCTTGTGCGGAGGGCCGCACATGGTGAGGGAGTGCCCACAGAAACAAACACTCAATGCTTTAACAGCTTCTATCCATCCCCCCAAATCAGACAAGGGCAAAGCCGTCGCCCTCAGTTCAAGCAATTCAGAATCTAGCAGCGACGATGAGGAGTCGCAAGGTCCCCGAATGGGAGCAATGCGTTTGTTAAATGCATTGTGAGGTCAAGTGGGGGAGCACATGCAGGCAAAGCCATTGAAAGCAGGGAGTAGCGAGCTGATGTATGTGGACATTAAGCTCAATGGCCAAACAACCCGTGTAATGGTGGACACGGGCGCTACCCATAACTTTATTGTTGATCGAGAAGCAAAGCATCTTGGGCTGATCTTGGAGAAGAACCCAAGTCGAATGAAGGCGGTGAACTCGGAGGCCAAGCAAATCTTCGGGTTGGCAAAGGGAGTCTCCATCAAGATCAGAACGTGGAACGAGAGTACTAACATGATGCGGTGCCACTGGACGACTTCCAAGTGATTCTTGGAATGAAATTCATGCACGCAGCGAAGTTAGTGCCAATGCCGTTCCTAAACTCCCTATGTATGATGGTAGGTGACGACCCCTGTGTGGTTCCTGTCTCTCAGAGGGGAACTCGGGAACCCCAACAGATATCGACATTACAACTAAAGAAAGGGGTGCGAAAAGGCGAATTTAACATTCGTGGCTGCTATGAAGCTAGAGCCACTCGACGAGAATGCTATTGATAAAACCTTGGCTCTCGTGGAGAGGGCCTTCTACTGGCCGAAGATGGGTACTGATGTGGAGGAATATGTTCGAACGTGCCTCACTTGCCAACAAGACAAGGTGGAGCAGCGGAAGTCGGTGGAGCTTTTGGAGCCGTTGCCCGTACCAGAAAGGTCGTGGGAGAGCATTTCCTTGGACTTTATATCAAGCTTGCCGATAGTAAGGGGATTGGGATCGATACTCATAGTGGTCGATCGATTTTCAAAGTTTGCAACTTTCATTGCTGCAACCCTACACTGTTCAGCAAAGGAGGCGGCCAAGCTGATGATGAAGAATGTGGTGAAGTATTGGGGAGTCTCGCACAATATCATCAATGATCGAGACACTCGGTACCTGGGACGATTCTGTACCGAGCTATTCAAATTGTTGGGGTCTAAGTTATACTTATCCACAAGCCTCCACCCCAAGACGGACGGACAAACCGAAAGGATAAACTTGCTCCAAGCGCAATACCTTCGGCACTACGTGAGTGCCAACCAACGAGATTGGGTGAAGCTGTTGGACATAGCCCAATTCTCTTACAACTTATAGTGGAGCTCTGCGTCCAACAAGAGCCCCTTCGAGATCATTACAAGACAACAACTGTCAACTCCTCACACCTTGGCTATTAGA